TGAAATTATTTTTAAAAAAATACCCAAAGCAGTCAAGAAACAAAAATAAAAATTATTTTTGAGAAAAAAGAAGTTAAAAATTTTTTTTTGAAAATTTTACTGAAAGCATCAGAAAGTACATGAAAAATGCTTTAAAATCCATTATTCACAAATTAAAATCCATAAAGTTTTACCCAACTTATAGGGATTTCAAAATGTCAATGTTTTCTAAAATGTGAAAGTTTTACCCCCCCTACTTTCTAAAATTTTTTTTCAAATATTTTAATATTTTGGGAATTTGTTACTCTTATAGAGGAGAACAAATTACCGAAGTACCAAATCAATCCCACAACTTTTTTTTAAGGTGTTCCACTTCAGAAATTTCGCCCCATATATTTATATTTATATTCTTTCAATAGTGAAACTACCTTATTCTAAATAAAAAAAAATTTTAACTATAATAGTACTTTAAAGAAAAAGAAATCAATAAACAAACTTACTCTAGTGAAATTTAAATTTCTTTCAAATATCTTCGAATAACATCTTGGTAATGAGCGTTCATTTTTTTGGACAAAGTAAACTATTTGCTTGTAATTGTCAAAAAATTGAGATGCAATTGAACTTTCTCTTTCTAATTCTTTATAAACGGCGTTGAGAAACGAAAGTCGTTTATTTCGATACAATTCAATCACTAAGAAATTATTGTATGATTCGTAGAACATATTAATATCACAAACAATGTCATTGCATCTATGTAACGTATACAAAAAGTTTGATAAAAACATTGGAGAAATGTTTGAAACATTACGTGGGTATGTTCTATGTCTTTGTATTTGGTAAAAAGATGATCTTAAAAATTTATTTAAACCATGAGATCCTGGAGTCATAAAGAAAGTTGAAAAAAGTTTCTGCTCTATTTTCACATCAATTACTAAGTGGTATAAAACGATTTGAAAAAATTCGTTTATATTTATGTTTTTTTGGAAATCAAATTTTTGCTGTAAAGCAATAAAAAGAACGAAGTTACATAATCTCTTTATTTTATAATCTGAACTGTAATCCTTTTTAATCTTTTTTAGTTCATTATGAGAATGACAAATTTTCGTGAAATAATAAACTTCGTGAATTTTGTAGATTTCTTTTAAAGAAGAAATATAATCTTTAAAACTGATATCACTCGAAGGAGTACAATGTTTTTTAATGTATTCTAGTTGATCATCTTTGTAATCACTGATGTTATAGTAAGGTAAACTCTTCCAATGTACCTTGTAACTAGGGAAGTCACACTTTAACAATTCGCAATGAGAACAAATAATTATATGATCACTTTTCTCTCTCTCTCTAAATATAGAAGTTGCTAAAAGTATTGTTTTAAATTTATTCTTTTTACAGTTTCTTTTCCAAAAGAATCTAAATAATTTTTTTCAACTTTTATGAAATGGCAGAAACATTCACATACATCACATTTTCTAATTTTATTCGTTTTATTTTCTAAATCTAACGGTTCTTTATAATTTGAAACTTTTTCATCCAATCCATCAGAAGAATTAGATTTGTTACCATTTTTCGAAGTATCCTTGCCAGTAAGTGCAACACCATCACCTACAGTATTACCGCGATGGTATTACCGCGCCGTCGTCGTTATCAACATCATCATCAGATAACACAATGTTGTCAAGGATAGATTTTTTTTAAACTCGACTTCATCAGAGACATAATTAAATCTAGAAAAAAAATATTTTTTTTGTAATTATAAACAATTATTTAAAAATACTGTTAATAAAAATTTTGTAACTTAAAACGAATGTATAATTCAATTGCTTTGTATGCACTCTATAGGTTTATTTAAGTCGATTAATTCGTTTTAGAAAAAATAAGATTTTGTTTAAAAAGTTTCAAATAAATTTATTTTATAACTTTATTAAAAAAAATTTTCTGTCGTTACTTAGACACAAATATAAAACTCAAATTAACATGCTTTTTACATAATTTCAATTATAAAAATACACTCTTCTTTTATTGGTAAATTTCACTAATTCTTTCCAAAAATTATTTATTTAGAATCCACAAAAATATTTTAAAATAATTTTGTCTATTTTTAGTATAAAAAATATATTTCTTTATAAATAAGAATATATTTCACTTTTTCACCATTCCAGTGATAATTTCCGGTATAACATTATTTTACACCTTTTTTCCTACAAATATTAAAATATTAAAGACTAAAATATTAAAATATTTATAACTTTAGAATGTTTTTAAAAAATGAAAAAAAAATGACGCCACGATAAAAATGATAACACGTGTACGTCGCTCTTGACACGATGCTAATTAGCGTTTTGCACCAACCGCTAGCATATTAATTATTACTTTTTTTAAATCGATCACATAACTAAACTCACATATCAACTATATTTTTCTTTATAATACACACCCCAATTGGGCGTTGTGTTAAAAAAATTGTGTTATAAAAATTTATAGCGACCGCAACAATGCGATTTACTATATTAATAATTTGGTCACACCACAGGTGACAAAGGTCCTCGGCCACTGAAGGCTCAATTTTATATTTTCGTCGCTGTCTGTCATAACCCTACCACCTAATTTTTCCACTTCCATCTAAACCTCACATACTCATTCATATACACATCATATTTCACACTATCATGCCTCACAATTATCCCCCTTTTTTATGCGGCTGAATAAGTAGAATAAAAAAACCAAAAGACATAGAGGCAGATTACAATCAAGACACTTTTTTTGAAGACACCTCCTCATTAAAACAAATTTTTTTTTATACATTAACATCTACAATACTTTACTGAAAAAAATGAATTGCCAAGAATCCACACTCTCGAGAATAATCTCCTATAATATTAACATATTCGTCGTCGTTTTGTCATCCGTCGTTCGTGTAACTCCGTACTTCATCGTTCAGTCGTTCGACTTTTATCATTTATTCATCGTATCGTATATATACATACTCATTGTACATACATATACGCATGCGCAGTAGTGTTCTGTGAATGGGGGCGCATGATTATTCCCCAAATGTCATTTTTCCGAAATGTCATTTTACCGAACTGCACTTTTGCGAATACTCATTTTTGCAAATCGCCATTTTTACGAATTGTCAATTTGCCAAAAAGTTATTTTTGCAAATCGCCATTTTTACGAATTGTAATTTTTTCGAAAAGTCATTTATGCGAATTGACATTTTTGCGAATTGTCATTTTTGAGAAATGTCATTTTTGCGAATTGTCACTTTTGCGAATCACCATTTAGAATAGAAAACTTGTAGGTCTATAAATTCACTATTGTATTTTTCGCAAAAATGACAATTCGCAAAAATGACTTTTCGGAAAATTGACAATTCGTAAAAATGGCGATTCGCAAAAATGACTTTTCGGAAAATTGACAATTCGTAAAAATGTCGATTTGCAAAAATGACAATTCGCAAAAATATGTAGCTTTTCGCAAAAATGACAATTCGCAAAAATGACAATTCGTAAAAATGGCTATTCGTAAAAATGGCGATTCGCAAAAATGACAATTCGTAAAAATGGCTATTCGTAAAAATGGCGATTCGCAAAAGTGACAATTCGCAAAAATGTCATTTCTTTAAAATGACCATTCGCAAAAAAGGCAATTCGTAAAAATGACTTTTCGCAAAAATGGCTTTTCACAAAATTGGCTTCTCGCAAAAATGACTATTCGCAAAAGTGCAGTTCGGTAAAATGACATTTCGGAAAAATGACATTTGGGGAATAATCATGCGTCCCCTGTGAATGTCAGACATGCGCAGTAGTGTTATATCACTGTTAGGCATGCGCAGTAGTGTTATATCAATGGTACGCATGCGCAGTAGTGTTATAGCAATGTTACACATGCGCAGTAGTGTTATATCAATGGTACGCATGCGCAGTAGTGTTATATCAATGGTACGCATGCGCAGTAGTGTTATATTAATGTTACACGTGCGCAGTAGTGTTATATCAATGTTAGGCATGCGCAGTAGTGTTCTATCAATGGTACGCATGCGCAGTAGTGTTGTGATACTTGGTATTGGAGCACAAAATATAACATATTTACTGTGTAAATACATCACGTTTGTATTCGTATCGATAACTACATTTGGTCATAACACACGCGTGACATTTGTGAGATTAGAAAAATCTCATTTCTGTCAAAAGTTCTGCGGGGGTGTCCACAACCGAACCATGCCCATAAACGAACCTTTTCCCTTATTATCGAGGGTTCCGTACACCAAAATTAAACACGTGTTTTATACAAAGATGTATGGGAAACAAATATGATTGATTGAAAGTAATATGTGGACGTCCACATGAAAAGGGACATTATTCTCGGTTCTAATTTTCGAGATTATAAAAAATCTTGATTTTTTTTATTATCAATCTACAAGTTTTGACAAGTAGAATCATGCGGTTTTCATTAATTTATCAATAATTTAACTGTTTGATTTCATTGGTTCTTTTTGAAAATCAAAAATTTGAAAATTAAAAAATCTAAAACAAAATTAAAATTTTAAAATTATTAAACAATGACATTATTATTATTAATATATAGTAGCAAAAAATTAAGAAAAAAGAGACAATTTATAAGAGTATAAAAATTTTTACTTACATTCAAAGCTGCTTAAAGTTGAATATAGAAGTGATGATTTATCACACAGTCAGCAAAACATAATAAGTGACAACAAGAAAGACAGCAAAAGACACGTACAAATTAAAATGTCAATAAAAAACTTTTATTTAAAACACAATTAAAAATTTTAAATATATATATATAAACTAAAAGTCTATTATTATTAATAAATATTATTATTTAAAAATAAAACAACACTATTAATTAAAAAAAAATAGAGATGCACACAAATACACAAAACAAAAAAAACACTAAAATAAAACACGAGACACCATTTTGTTAAAATACACTATTAAATTTTTATATTTCAAAAAACAAAAAATTTTTTTTTTACACAGTATATTTTTCCATATTTCCTAAATTACATACTCCTCCTCCTTCTCCTCCTCATCAACAATCATTTCCATATTATTAATTTTCTCTAAAATTTTCTCCTCTTCGTAATATTGAATTGCTTCTTCTCTCATTCGAATTTCCTTCTCCTCCTCATAATAGGAATTATTCGCCAACTCCTCGACATCATCATCATCATCAGCATTAAAATCTTCATCCTCATCATTATTAAATTTATCAATCATCATTTCATCTTCCTCTTCTTTTAGTATCATAAATTTTAATTGTAGCTCCGCCTCTTCTTCATCTTTAAAAAAATTGATTATTTCATCTTGTTCCTTTATATTCAAATTTTCCATTTTAGAGAAATAGATCTGAAATAAAAATTTCAAATTATTGAATGATGGCATTATTACTAATATAAAAAATTTAATAAATAATCTGTCAAAAACAAAAATATAAACACACACATTTTAAAAATAATTATTATTTTCTAATATTAAAATTGAAAATTGAAAAATCTAAAACAAAAATTAAAATTTTAATATTAAAAAATAATCATATGAATTCTTCTTAATATAGTAGCAAAAAAGAAAGAAAAAAAAGGACAATTTGTAATGGTAAATAAATTTTTACTTACATTCTCTTCTCGCTGTTTAATATGAAACTGAAATGATTCTAATTTTTGTCGTTGTCGTCGTCGTCGTGATGGGGTTTCAAATCAAAATTAAAGTGGGTTTCAAAATGTTTGTGTGTGTGTGTGTTTGACAAAAAAAGGTAAACACTGAAAATGTATACAACTTAGAAATAACTAGTTATTCTCTTTCAACCAAACGAGCAAAAAAAAAAAATTATATATATATTATATATTATATATATATTACATATATATATATATATGTCACTTTCTGTAATATGTGTCAATATATAAAAACACATTTATCTCATTCTCTCTGCGAATATATATATATACGATATATATATATATATACACTATATATAGAGATATCTGTTTGAGAAATTTAGGGAAACAATCAATTTCAAAGTTGGAATAAGCTAGTATATTGTGTTTAAAAGAAGAATTATTTAAAATAAAGGTGAAACAAATTTAATTTGTTTCCCGCCTTTTTTCTTGCCATCAAATTGCTAGCGCGCATAATTTCAAATTAAGAAAAAAAACGGATAAAAAAAGGAGGGAAAAACAGAAATAAGAAGAACATTTGATTTGCATTAAAATTGTTGTTATTTAAATTCAAAGTTGGAGGGGGAATATTTTAAATGATTTTATTTAATAATAGTTCATAATAATAAAAATAAGAAAGTATGTTTGTGTGTGTGTGTATATTAAAATTAAAATGAAAAAATGAGAATAATGAGAGAATAAAAGTGAGAAAGTTGAAAAAAAAGTGTGTGTGTGTATATCAGACTAAAAGTCTGTGTGTGTTTGTGATTGTGTTTGAATTTGAAAAAAAGGTAAACACTGAAAATTTCGATAAGATTAAGAAAGTTCGTAAATATGACACTCAATCAGATTCAATAAAATTTTCCCTAAATCTACAATTGAAAATGTGTACCGAATTTTAGCCCAATGGGTGACGATATGTAGAATTTTAGTATGGGGACAAAGTCATTTTTTTGAAAAAATTAAATTTCATTCCTTTCTAGTTCGTAAATATGACCCCCAATCAGGTTCACTATATTTTTTCCGTAAACTACACGTAAAAATGAGTATGTGTACTGAATTACAACTCTCTTAGTCCTTATATGCAGAAGTTAAGATTGACACGTCGAATTATGCAGTATTCATTAATTTATAGTTTATTTAAATGCTTATTTTCATTTTTTCTTTAAAGAAAGATACACTACCGTCCGTGAGTATCAGGACGCCCCTTTTTCATGAGTGGAAAAATGCTTAAAACGTAGAAAATAAGAATGACAAAAATTTTTCGTATTTTTTTCCTGAAAGCTAATAAAATTATGAAAAGACTGACACCTGATCGAAAATTTTCGTTGATTATTCTGTCAGATACAGAAAAAATACTGGATTTTGCATGCTTTTCGTAATTTTTTAATTTCTTGAAAACTAATTAACTTTTATTAGCGCTCTTGGTCTTGTTTTAATCTCTACTTAATGTAGAATCTAAATTATTAACTGGTATTGTAAAATATATTTTTCCAAAAAAATTTAAAACTGTAAAAGTAGGATTAAAAAAATTCAAAAAATTATCATACATATTAAAGTGTCGAAAAGATCAATGTAAAAAACGTTCATTTAATAAATATACTAAAATTCAAAAAAGCTTTTTAATTACTTAATTATTTAATTTAAAAATATTTTTTGGTGTTGAAAAAGTGTCAATCTGTTTTTCAAAATTTTTTCATCCGACTTTCACAGTTTCAAATTTTTTTGGAAAAATTTATTTCACAGTACCAGTTAATAATTTAGATTCTACATTAAATAGAGATTAAAACAAGACCAAGAGCGCTAATAAAAGTTAATTAGTTTTCGAGTAATTAAAAAATTACGAAAAGCATGCAAAATCGTGACTTTTGCTAATGTTAAGAAATCTTTACGTTTTGGGGTCCCCTGAACCCGAAAACATGGTTCGGCGAGTCCGTCTGTCTGTGTGTCTGTCTGTCCGTCTGTCTGTCTGTATGTCCGTCTGTAGACCAAAATGTTGTAGACACAATAACTTTTGAAAATCTTATCTGATCGTTTTTAAATTTAACACGCTTAAAGTTGGTGTAAAAATTAAGGCTAAGTTCGTTAACCAGCCATTTTTGTTAAAAACTACAGAAACTACAGTAGTTTCAAAATTTTGAAAACTCAATTTTTTCAAATTTAAAATTTTTTAACTTTATAAAATAAAGAGAACACTTTTAACCGTTTTTTAAAATTATTTTCTTTTGCATCAACAAAATATCACATGTTTTGTCAATATTCAGACAATATTGGTTTTTTTATTAGAAAAATAAAAATTTTTTTGGCTGGAGTTTATGTGTAACTGACGTGTTTAGTTGTGAAGATGACAGGTGACGTGCCCGATGCTGAATACTTCCTAAAAATTATTTAAAGATTTACGTGCAAACTTCGTAGTATTATTTACTATCCAATATTAAAATTAATTGTGTAAAGGTTTACATGTCCCACTTTATTGAATGTTTAGCCTGAAACTTTTCTAAAAATTAAAGTTATTTTTTCATGTAAATCTATTATAGACGAAAATTCAGCAAACCATGTTTCTGAGAAGAAAGTAAGTACTTGGAGAGACCCACAGTTGTAAAAATTACTAAAAATGGTTGCAATGACCGGAAATAAGGGGACTTTTAGCATAATGTACTACAGAATTAGATAAATTTACAAAAGAAATAGATAAATTTGCTACATTGAAATAGCAAGTTTTAATATTTTATGTAAGAGTTGTAAATGTAGCAAAACTTGATTATAGTTTTCTCTAATTTAATTAGACAAAATCTGACAAATGAAAACATTTTCCACTAAAACCTACTATCCACTGTAGTAATTTTTGGTGAGCAAGTGTGGCTAGCGAGTGCAGTCATATGGCGCCTGCATTTCTATTGGTTGCTAACTTCGTCAATCTCCGTAAATGAGCCGATGCCATCCGATCATTAACAGTGAATATGTTTCGCGTATGTAAAATAAATTTAGATATTATCTACAATAATTTAATATAAAGTGAAACGAAGTTCGTTCGTTATCTTAGAAATTGACCATTACAAATTAATAAATTTTGCATTTATTCCTGTCCCAAGAACTATGTCATAATAAGTTGTTAAAAGTAAACTGCTTTCTCGTAAGTTCTGTAAATTTTTATTATTCAATATATAAGGAAAGAAACTTTGCTAATTTGAAGAACATTTGTCGGGATTAGTGACTTAGTGTAGAAAATAGTAAAAAATACAAAAAGTCCCCTTATTTCCGGTGGTTGCAATGTGAAAATAGTAAATTCTATTGTGATTTTATACAAAAATTAGTAATCTTGGTCTCTCCGTGTAATTAAGAATAATTTCACACTTTTAATTAGCAGGACTAAAAATTTTCTTAAAAGTGTACTTAATCTTGCAATCATCAGCAAACAAACATAGGTGATGAGAATGTTATCCTTAAAGTCGTAGTAACTTTAAGAAAAAAAATTTTATAAAACATATAATAGGAAAAAGGATCAAGAACGCAAGTAATGCAAATCTCCGCGGACTCTGCGAGCGAAGCGAGCTACTTGCGCGCGAAGCGCGCAACAATCCACGGAGCCCGAAGCGCGACGACCAATATTTCGCGCGCCACGAGGCGCGCTGAAATTTGCGAGCGAAGCGAGCCCTCCGCGCGAAGCGCGGATAAGAATGTGCCCGCACGGAGGGCGGGCAGATTTTTTTCAAGTTAAATACATGTATTTTTAAACTATAGTTATCAAAAAGTTGTATTTTTAATAGTTTTGACAAAATTAATTTTGGAAATACCATCTAATTTCAAAGCGTTCAGGGTGGCGTAACCCAATAATAATTATAAGAATAAAATAATTGTTTCTTAATATAATACGACAAATTTTATTTACTTTTAGTTCTAAAAGTCTTATTCTAGTAACGCGATCCGTCGCAGGCAGTGCCGTCTTTAAAAAACTGATGACAAAAATAATTAACAACACATTAGGAAAATGCAAAAAATATCTTTAATTCTCAAATTTGGTATAAAAGTATTGCAAAATTACATTTAATGACAATAGATATTCATAATTTCTTTCTCGATTTTTTGGATGCAAAATCATCAATTATATCTTCGATATTTAGACTATCAAGAATGTCTGACTGTATGTATATAACGGAAAGATAATTCAATCTAGAATTTTAATCATTTTATTAAATAAAAAATATTTTTTAATTTTTAATATGAATATAAAATTTAGAATAAGAGGAATAAAAAAGCATCAACAAGGCGCAGCTATTAGAGCGCATTTGTCACATCGTAAAATAAGGGTGCATTTACACTTTCTCATACATGTAATGTTCATGCATACATCCACATTTTTTGTCTCGCTTACTATCCGCGAGAAAATTATAGGCCCCTGAAAAATGTTCGAATTTGACTTGAAATATCTCTGTTAAAAAAATTATTTAAAAAAAATGAGAAATATTTTTGGAAAGTGTGGAATCTCATATGTTTGTATCGAAAGGCCAATATTGAAAAAAAAAATTGCACCGCAAAGGTGCAAAATTAAAACCACAGTGTACCCCATTTTTCGACATTTTCAAAATTGGTCGACTTTGGTACAAGATTTTACATGGAAGCGATTA